TTATTATTATCTATTATTATCTATTATTATTATTGTTATTATTATTACTTCAGCTGACCTGATAGCTTTCTGAGGGTGGTGAGAGTGACTGCTAGCGCTAAAACACTAACATACTGACACGATCTTTCGCTCTCTATGGCCGGGTAACCTTTCACACCCGGGTCTGGTTGAAGTGAAGAACATTCGCATAAAATGCCTTTCCCAAGAACGCAACGCCATGCCTGATTCGAGGCTCAAACTCCGGGACCCGCAACCTCACGATTACGAGTCCGGTGTCCTATATATATGCCACTAGGCTACCTCCGCCCTAGGAGGTTCTTTTATTACGGGTATATATTATATTAAGTACTAGAATTCGTGGCAGTGATGCCCCTCGCGAAATGGAACGGGGATTGCGTGTACCCACCATGGGGCGCCGGACCTCAAGGGAAAGACATGCATGGAGGCGTCTCGGCAGTTTGAGCAGGAAATGTACAAGCTTGCACTGAAATATCTGGGAAACAGGATAGGGCTTAGATTGTTCATGTAAATGGGGGCGTGCCGGCCATGCCTATGAGGGTAAGAAGGTCCCAGGTGTTTGACACGTGAGACGTAACTGTTGCGAGCTGTTGTGATATGAGGGGGCATACCAAAGTGTTTTTACATGACCATGAAGGAATAAAGGTAGAAAGCTGAAATTTGGTACTAACCTTAATCTTTTTCTATGTAGTTGCCTCCCACAGTTATACATTTTTTGCCATCATTGTGTGACATTGAAAAGACCTTGAGAATAAAAGACCCTCTCTTTGTCAGAAAATCAGCCCGTTACCGCTTCTTTGACCTCATCATCACTTTCAAAATGCCTTTTATTTAAATCCTTTTTCAGTTTGGGGAATAAAAAGAAGTCGGACGAGGCTAAATCTGGAGGATAGGGTGGACGTGGCAAAATTGCATAGCTACTTTCGTGCGCAGTTTCTGCTGCTTTTCTTGAAGTGCGTGCTGACACGTTGTCGTGAAGCAGCAAAATGCCTTTTAGGACCTTTCCTCTACGTTTTTCTTTATAGCCTCTCATATTTTTTTTTAGCTGGTTAGAATAATGGTCTCCGGTGATCGTATGTCCATTTTCAAGGTAGTCAGTCATAATCAAGCCTTCTTGATCTCCAAAAACTGATAGCATCACTTTCCCACTTGATGGCTGCACCTTTTCCTTCTTTGGTGTCGGAGAAGAGGGTGATGTCCAGTGCATAGATGCAGATTTTGACTCAGGATTGTAGTGGTGGACCTATGTCTCATCCATGGTAACAAGTCTGTCAAAAAATGTAATTTCATCCTCTTCATACTAACCAAGAATTCTTGGCAACAATCCGCATATTCCACTTTTTGAGAAGGAGTCGACAAACGTTGCACCCATCTTGCAGAAACCTTGGTCATTTTCGAATGTTCATTTAAGATTCGTTCAACTAATCCAATGATAGATTCTAAGCCTAGTTTCTTTGCTCAAACGTTCGTTTGTCACCCGCCTATCAGACAAAACAAGTTTCTTGATTTCAAAACCAAAATTGTATCACAGCATAGGATGAGCAGTCAGTTCCATATACAGCATACATCTCCATAAAAATATCCTGTAGTTGCTAGCCTTGCAAGAACAAAAATATTCCTTACTGCCCTGTGCTCAATTTTCTCCTGTTTTATGTTGGAACTGGAGAACAACATATTCCCATTCCCATCCACTTACAGTGCGCTGGTGTTAAAACCAGTAATCGGAAATTCCACAAAATTTAAATGTATTTTAGGACTAATTGTTGGCCATCACCCCGAATATTTCAGCTTTCTACTTGTATCCCTTCATGCTCAGGTAAAAAAAACAACTTTTGGTATGCCCCTCGTATATGTACAAATGTATGTATATACATGTATATAACCTCTTTGCCTACGCCACATTGCCTAATATCGCTGCATTTGGTAGGGTGCGTAGGCGGCTGGGGAATCTTGAGGAAATAAGTACAGAGTACCTTACCCCCTCCCCTTTCCAACCCCCACGCCATACCCTCTTTCCAATAACTCCCCCACGAGAGAGAGAGAGAGAGAGAGAGAGAGAGAGAGACAGACAGAGAGAGAGAGAGAGACAGAGACAGAGACAGAGACAGACAGACAGACAGACAGACAGACAGACAGACAGACAGAGAAAGAGGCAGTGAGAGACACGAGAGAGAGAGAAAGAGAGAGAGAGAGCCCAGTGTCCATACATTATATTATACTAGATTGTAATCGTATCTTTCTTCCCTACAGACGCAGAATGTGTCAACAAGAAACTTCGCGGTAACAACAAGCAAAAAACCAAGAAATCAGTTGAAGGAGCGAAACGTATCACATCCATGAAATTAGTTGGAAAACCGGAAGGAAAGAAAAAATGCAAGCTCGGTACCTCGTTCGGCTTTGATGACAAAAAAGTATGGGCGAGGAAAGGTTGTGTTGCAAATTTCCGCATCTGCTTCGAAAAAGGTATTTTGTCTTGTTACGTCCAGACTAGATTTCGTTAGGCAATCATTTTAAATAATATATATTATCGTCTTCTATTGCTTCGACGGTAGGTTTATACTCTCCCTCTTTTAAAAGATTATTTTGTTACCTTCAAAATTGTCAACTGATTATTACACCATGTCATTTTGTCATCGGTGCTATGAATTTTAATTATGCTGTTTCGGTTTCAATTGTTCTAATGCTTCATTCATAAGGATAACAGCATTGAATATTCGTTTACACCTTTCGTACTTTCACGTTTTCTATTTTGTGTTTTGAAACCTCAGGGCTTTCATGTAAACAGATAATTATGCCAGTGAAGAAGTGATCAGTTGGAAAAAAGCATCGATGTCATGTCGAAAATCCTGAATTGCTAATTTTTTCCAGGACAATTCAAAATAGTTTGTTATATGAAGTCGGAAATCATCCTTTTGTTTATTTACACTGTACATCAGATCACAAACTGGTTGAGAATTTTCCCTGACTTGCTTTCTTAAGGGATTAACATTTCCTGAATTAAATTTCTCATTCTGGATGTTGCTGAAGTTATTTGTGATGTGAAATAATAGAGACATAGCAAATTCTGATACCATTAAGCGATTGCTCAAGACTCGTTTGTTTAATTCTTAGTTTTAGTGTGGTAGTAATTAATGCTGATATGTTTGGGGTTTTGCTTTGCCACTGTCCTTTTGTGTATATAATTAATGTATGGTTGTGAAGGCTCTTGTTTATGTGGTTGAACTGGTTTTTCTTGTTTCTGTGGAATATTTTCTCTTGTGTTCGTTCAATGATCATGTGATTGATGTAAAGCGCTCAGAGCGCTTATACTAGTATGGGATAGAGCGCTATATAATTTAATGCAATCTAATAGTATTGTTATTAATTTAACGCTTCTTTCTTTTGAAATCCATTACAAGATGCTAGTTTATCCACTATTCCCAGTCTTATAGTGTACTTTGTGGACATAACTATGTTTAGTGAGGACTATAGCAGCCTGCGCCGCTACAGGCTTAACGCGTAACGGCTCGTTCACATCAAACATCCGCATTCGTGTGGTATCGTGTGTGAGACGCACGAACGAATTAATTACGTTATATGTGGGCCCTTTCTGTGTTCCCACCAACTGTTCGAGTTCATGCGGTAGCGATAGTTGTCGTTCGTGCGGTGTGGTGAATGGTGAGTTTTATGACAGCCATAAAATGTCATCCGTCTGCTCTCGTGTTGTGACCGACCGCTCCCTCATGGAGTCCAATAACCACGAGGAACACGAGGCAAAGTTGCAACCAGGTTAATCTACTCTCTGGACTGTGTTCTCAGTCCTCACTTCCATGTTCACAATATTAGGGAAAAACACGCACACTGACGCACGAATTGACGGATGAATGGGCACACGTTCGTGCGTTATGCGGGGTGCCCACTACGGATGGGATCGGACGATCGCACTGATCGCTCGACTCGGTCGCCTTATAGGGTGTGCCTATTAGCGAATGCGGATAGGGTAGGGTCGGGTTGGGTCGTCGGGTCGGGTCGCTGTGTGGTGGTTTCACTGCACACTACAACCCCGCCGTGATTGTACCCGACGACCTGGAAAGTAAAGAAGAGAAACCTTTAACCTACATGAGACTACACAGAGGGCGTAAACCTTGCTAGGATTGGCTGAACCTTTGACCCATGAATACATTAAGTAGGCCTACTGTACTCTTGGACTTCCCGCACTCATGTAAACCTTGCTAGGTCTCTGCATATATCTCTCAGCTTATCTCTCTCCCTCCCTGTCACTCTCACCACCCTCCCTCTGCAGTGTTTTCTGGCCCTCTCTATTTCTTCCTTTCTCTCTCTCTTTCTCCCTCTCTCTCAAGGTAGGGTGACAAACGCAAAAATCCTCATTTTGTAACCTGTGTTTGTACTAAATTTTTGTTCTTCTCCTTCCCCTTCTCCTTCTATTTCTTCATCTTCTTCTTGTTCTCCTCCTCCTCCTCGTCCTCCTGCTTCTTTTTCTTCTTCCCCTTCAAATACTACTCCTCATCCTGCTTCTTCTTCTTATTCGTCTTCTTCTTCCTCTATGAGCGCTCCAAACCCGCTGTGAGAAGTGAGAAGACAGTCAAAGGCATGACACCGAAACCAGGAATTGCCTCAGTGCCTACTTAATGTATTCATGGGTCAAAATGGACTCGTGACTCAGCCCTGTTGTGATCGGCTGCAAACCACCAGATCGGGCGGTTCACAGGCCTGAAAACAAACGCGTTTGTTTTTGTAGGTCACCGACCGAGTCGATCGGTTTGTGCCGCGATGGCCGCTTTGCGCCCTCAATTTGGCTTGCCCCGACTACCCGATGGGCCCGACCCGACCCGACCCGACCTGATCACGTATGTGGGCACCCCAGTTAGACAAATGCACGATACCACACGACCGCGGATGTTCGGTGTGTACGAGCCGCAATGTGCTGGATTATTCTCTTTGATCCGCTTCTGTGAAGCTGCCCCCCCCCCCCTTTCAGTAGGGTCCCGGAAATGAGATACTAGCAAAACCCCCAAAAAGTAAAAATTTCTAGTTGCTAGACATTCTCAACTTCAACAGGTGCATCTCATATTATAACAGACAGACAGACAGACAGACAGACAGACAGAAACACACACACACACGCACACACACACACACACACACTCACACACACACACACACACACACACACACACACACACACACACACACACGCACGCCCACACACACACACATTAAGTTCCGTAATCTGCCACGATACGAAATCTTAACCCTAAACCCTTTTGTCATCAGCACGCTAATTCTGCTATTCTGTCTGGTTGCAATGAGCCTGAAGATGTAAAATTACTTTCCACAAGACACCTAAACACAATAGTATGGTAATCGACTATAACATGATTATGATGTAATGCTCACTTTGAGTTTTAAGCTAGAAGCCAAAACATGACATAGGGTCATCATGAGTATATTTTTGATAATTTGTGATTATGGGGTTCCCATCATTCGTGTATTTTACTGAAGTCACTTCTGTAGATATTTTATTTTGAGTTGTTTTTAACTTACCTATTGTTTTTGGCCTTCGAAAATGTACATATTCCATTCCGTTGACACTTAAGTTTACTTTAGTTTCCTGTACTCAGCTTTTACAAAGTGGTTACATATCCTATCTGTTAACGTTTTAGTTTTGTTTTTTGGTGCTGATTTATGAGTGCACATTTAGAACTCTTGAGTGCTAGAGGCCAAAGTAGGAGCTTCTTACACTGTGGGTTTCCAACATGTAAATGATATACGTACATGTTTAACTTGGAAAATGTTTTTCTCAGTTCGTGTCATTTTCATAATATCTTACATTCTTAAGATATCTACGAAATTCAAAGTGCACGTTTTTGGATTAGGTCCCGGAAATGAGATGCTAGCAAAACCACCAAAAGTTAAAATTTCTAGTTGCTAGACATTCTCAACTTTAACAGGTTGCATCACATATATAACAAACAGACAGACAGACAGACAGACAGACAGACAGACAGACAGACAGACAGACAGACGGACAGACAGACAGAAACACAGACACACAGAAACACAGACACGCAATTAAAAGTATTCAAATTCTTAACATAATAAGTATGCTTCTATTTCATTTTTTTAAAGTCTTATTGTTATTTCAATTTTTTCTTCGCACACCTTGAAGACACAATAAATCCCCATAACGATTCTCCTTACACAACAACATGTTTCCTGGGATAGCAAAGATTTATCTGTTCGAACGTCTAATATCTAGCAGTTTTAATTTTTTAAAGTACACTATAATGTATTGCTACGAATACAAATTGTGTGACCTTAAGCATGACACTGAAACTAAAAGTGTTTTTGTTTTTTTAAAGACGTATTCTTGTAATTTTCTATTCAGTACTATATTTAATGTTTCCTTCGCTTTTCACATTGTTAAACTCAAACAGTATATAAAAATACTGATATACATTTTCATTGGAAACATGGTTCAAACACGAAAAAGAATACGATGGACATGTGAGGAATGAAAAATGTGTTAACAATACATGTAGATTTGATTGAATGTTTTGGTTCAAATCAGATTTGCAGAGCGTTAATGGTCAATTGACAAAGAAATCTTAAAATTTCACCACTATTAAGGTTTGTCGTTGCTTAATTTGTACTTTCTATCGAACTTGTTGCAGCTGCAATCCAAATATACACCATTTAAGTGCCTATTATAAATTTCAAGAACTTTTCCGGCTAACTGATTCTTCTACGTTTTTACTTCCTTCATTTCAAATATTATTATGAATATAAATGGAAAACTTTGAAAAATATTATGTTTCGGAAGGGCACTCGAGGTCTGTTTTTCCATTACGTCATGCAATCGGTGTTAAACTTGGCCTAACCTTTGGAATTTCTGTCCTATTGACATTCATGGTCGGCAATTTCTAGAGGGGGGGGGGGGGGGGGGGGTGCCGAGTTAGAAATTGTACACTGCAACAAAAGTTTTATTCCCGTCTGTAACTGGTTTCATTGCCTTCTGAATTTTAGGACATATTCTATCTTCGAATGTATTCGATTGAGAAGAATGCCGTTTAATGGTTATGTAAGTTAGGTTCTGATGTCTGCTGCATTTTCTTTTACGTTTGACGTTCGGTCTAATACAATGACAAGAAAGAAGGCGATAAAGAGAACCATAGAACTTTAAAACTAAAAAAAAAAGAGAACTACCAGAAAATTTTCCTAAACGCCAAGAAAAATATGTCTATTAAGAAAACGAAAGAATTGTCAAAGGGCAAGTGCAATAAAGGTAAATCTTTTGGCTTCAAAGGAAGGAACACCTGGGTGAAGTACAACTCTCAGGCAGTGTTCAGAGTTTGCTAGAAGCCAAAAGACGGTGAATGTTTGTTTTCACTCGAATCCATAAAACATATAGTGCAGCTACTTTATCAAAGTCTTTACTTCCTTTTTTGCCTGTCTTCTGCACCTTGATGAACTTTGCATCACTCTTTCTATGGAATACTTTCTACTTTTCTTCGTAATTACTGCACTCACAATCATTGTTTGAGTGCATATCAAAAGCTTCAAGAGATACTTCAAATTATGACTGATTCTGATCCGATTTGCTCCCTGCATTTCACATACTTTTTAGGAAAAGTATAGAAAATGTGAAATAACCTTCCGTCTTTCTTAAGGACATCTACCACCAGTTTTTATTGTCGTAATATACTCGTTAGCAGTCTTGATATATATTTTGGAGTTTCCGTCCTGTTGACCTTTATGGTCTGGGTGGGTTTTTTTCGAGTCAGTAAGTGTTTACTAACCGTGATAGTAATTTTCAGTCTGTAACAGATGTGATTGCTGTCTAATATTTCAGAAACGTTCTTGTTGGATGGTAATTCTTCGGTTGAGCAAAATGCCACGAATATGGTAAATCATTAAGGTACTGATGTCTATTGTATACTTATTTACTTTTTTGCAGACGCTGATAAAGGAGGTGGCAATAAAGGCAACAAGGGCAACTGCAGAACTTTAAAACTTGAAAGCAAAAACAAAAAGAAAAACCAGAAATCTCCTTCAAAGTCCAAGAACATCAAGTCAATGAAGATGACTAAAGAATTGTCAAAGAACAAGTGCAAGAAGAATAAATCCTTTGGCTATAATGGAAAGAAGGCCTGGGTGAAGAACAACTGCCGTGCAGTATTCGAAGTTTGCTTCAAGCGAAAAGGCGACCAAGGTTTGTTTTCGATTGAGTCCTTGAAATAAAAAAAAGCAGTTCTTAGATTTTGTACCAGAATTTTAATACATTGCTTCCTACCTTGCGTGTTGCGGCTGCAATTCAAATTTAAGCCTTTTGGGTTCCTATCCAAAGTTGCAAGATGTACTCCAACTGACTGATTCTTTTTCGTTTTTCTCCTCAAATTTCACATACTTTTAGAGAAATTAGTGCTTGTATGTTTGCTGCTGATGTCCACAGTATATTCTTTTCCTTTAAATAATTCGTTGATAAACCAGAAGAGAATATAAAAAAGACAGCTATACCATATCCTTGAAAATACGATATAGTTTAAGCACTCAAAAGAATACGGTGAATTTATAGGGAATGACAAATTTTCTCTTTTATGAAATGCCGAATTGAATCTGAAGTTTTTATTCCGAATCAGTTTTGCAGAGCTGTAATTAGAAATTGACAATGCATTCTTTAAATTTTACTTCCAGGAAACGATCAGCCAGACAAACCAAAGGACCGAGGTTAGTCTCTTTTTAATTGCTTCTGGTTTGTGTACCTCGTCTGCCTTTTGAGTTTTTATTCAGTATTTCGATAGAGCGATGGTTTGCTTTCTATATTGCTTGTGGTGGCTGCAAACCAGATCAGTACCATTTAGTGCGTATCGAAAGTTTTAAGAACTTCTCAGACTGCTTGGTTCTGCTACGTATAGTGTTCCCTTCATTCTGCATACTTTTATCGACAAAAATTGAAATTAGGGACTTTAATTCAAGAATTATTCCAACCAACTGATTCTTCTCCAATTTACTTCCGGAATTACTCATACTTTTAAGGATAAAGCTGGAAAACTCGAAAAAAAACATCATGTCTTCCTGAAGAACACCCTCCATCTATTCTTTTGGAACGTCATACAATCGTTATCAATTTTGGCCTGTCTATCTATCTCTCCCTTTTGACAGTAAGATTTTTTTTCTTTACTTTTATTTTTTCAATCGGTAATTGTTAGTTATGACAACACATTTTTGTCTTCTTTTATAGTAGAGGGTTTTATGGCGCTCGCAACTGCATAAGGTCATATAAGAGCCAAGGGGTAGGTGTCAACAGAGGAGTCTTTACAGGGAATAGGACTTACTCTGCTCACCTCTCTAGTTTCAACAGCACAAAGTCTGCTTCGACTATCAAGGCACCCCAGAAATAGCAGGTCACAAGAGAGTGACAAACATACAAAAGAAGTAGAGTAACATGACAATAGCAAGGATTAGGAAAGAAAAAGCAGCAGTTCCCTGTTGCAGATCAGGCACAGTTATTAGCGTAATATGATGAATCAGCCCATTTACAATTCTACTATGCTTGAACGAGAAATGTCCCACCTTTGGGAATGGCCTAAAGACACTACAGTCAGTGGCCCTGCCCCGGGGGGGGGGGGGGAGAATTTTTTGTCTGAAATTGGTTTCCTTGTTGTCATAATTTTTTGTAACTCTCTTTTTGGATGGTAAATCTTTGCCTGCATTTGATCGACCAAAATGCGGTGAAAAATTGGTATGTAATTTCGGTGCTGATTCTTGTAGTGTATTCTTATACTTTTTCTCTAAGACGATGATAAGTAAGAAGTTGATACAAACAACTGCAGAAATTTAAAACGTGAAAGGGAAGACAAAAAGAGAGACCAGAAATCTATTTTTCTTCCTGCATTTCACATGCCTTTAGAGATAGAAGTGAAACACTTGTAAAATTGTGATTTATTTTAGATGGATACCCTCCATATTTTCTTTCCTAACGTCATACAGTCGCTACCAATCTTTGCCAAACTTTTGGAATTTCTGTCCTATTGGCATTTACAGCTTGGGTTTCTTTTTTGCCGAGGCTGTAATTGTTTGCCTTGACAATGATTTTTCCGTCCCTTCTTGGTTTTATGAGCGTTCAAATTTTTGGAAACGTTCTTATTGGAATGTCATTCTTCGCGTGTGTGTGCTGGGGAAAAAATGCCGTGAAATGGGTATGTAAGTTAGGATTTGATATCTGCAGTATATTCTTTTACGTTTTCTCTCAGACGATGATGAGGAAGAAGGCGATAAAGGCAACTGCCGAACTTTAAAACTTGAAAGCAAAAATAAAGAGAAAGACCCGAACTCTTTCAAAGTACGAAAGAATCAAGTCTATGAAGATAAGGAAAGAACTGTCAAACGGCAAGTGCAATAAGGGTAAATCCTTTGGCTTTAAAGGAAGGAATGCCTGGGTGAAGGACAACTGCCAGGCAGTATTCAGGGTTTGCTTCAAGCCAACAAATGACGACAAAAGCGACAAAAGTTTGTTTTCAATTGAGTCCTTGAAAACAATATTGCAGTTAATGTATCAAAGTTATTACTTCTGGTTTGTCTATCCCGTCTGACTTCTCGCAAATTTCTGTCCCATTGACATTTATCGTCCATGTTTTTTCCCCGTTCTCATTTCTTCACCGGAGTCAGTACATGTCTACTATGACGGTAATTTTTTGGTCTGTAATTGTCGTCATTGCTCTCCAATCTTTTGGAAATCTTCTTAGTGGAGGATAATATTTTTGCGTGTATTCACCTGAACAAAATGCCGTAAAATGGGTAAGTAAGTTAAGGACTCATGTCTGCAGTATATTTATTTACTTTTTTTTTCAGACGATGATGAGAAAGAAAAAGATGATAAAGACAACTGCAGAACTTTAAAACTTGAAAGCAAAAAGAATAAGAAAGAACAGAAATCTCTTTCAAAGTCCAAGAAAATCAAGTCAATGAAGATGACAAAAGAACTGTCGAACGGCAAGTGCAAGAAGAATAAATCATTTGGCTATAAAGGAAGGAAGGCCTGGGTGAAGAACAACTGCCGTGCCGTATTCAAAGTTTGCCTCAAGCAAAAAGGCGGCAATGGCGGCAATGGCGGCAATGGCGGCAAAGGTTTGTTTTTAAATGAGTCCTTGACAACAATAGAGCAGCTAACTTATCAAAGTCATTACCTCTGGTCTCTTTCTCGTCTGCCTCCTTGTGAAATTTGTATCCGTATTTCAGTACGTGGGCTGCTTTCTACTTTGCTTGTTGCGGCTGCTATCCAAATCTAAACCATTTGTGTGCCTATCCAAGGTTTCAAGAAATACTCCGACTTACTCATTCTGATCTTTCTTCCGGCATTTCGCATACCTTCAGGGATAGAAGTGAAAAATTTGAAAAATCGTGATGTATTTCTGGTGGACTCCCTCAATAATTCTTTCCTAACGCCATACGGTCGTTTCCTATCTTTGCCAAACTTTTTGGAATTTCTGTCCTCTTGGCATTTATAGCTTGGGTTTCTTTTTTGCCGAGTCAGTAATTGTTTGCCTTGACAATAATTGTTCCGTCTTTACTTGGTTCCATGGCTGTTCCGTTTTTGGAAACACGCTTGTTGGAGGGTAATTCTTCACGTGTATAAGCTGGAGCAAAATGCTGTGAAATGGGTGTGTAAGTTAGGTGTTGATGTCTGCAGTATATTCTTTTACGTTTTCTCTCAGACGATGATGAGGAAGAAGACGATAAAGGCAACTGCAAAACTTTAAAACTTGAAAGCAAAAACAAAGAGAAAGACCAGAAGACTCTTTCAAAGTCGAAGAAAATCAAGTCTATGAAGATGACGAAAGAACTGTCAAGGGGCATGTGCAATAAGGGTAAATCCTTTGGCTTTAAAGGAAAGAACGCCTGGGTGAAGGACAACTGCAAGGCAGTATTCAGGGTTTGCTTCAAGCCAAAAGGCGACAAAGGCGACAAAGGCGACAAAGGTTTGTTTTCCATCGAGTAGTTGGAAATAATATAGCAGTTAAAATATCAAAGTTATTACTTCTGGTTTGACTATCTTGTCCGTTTTCTCGTGAATTATGTATCAAGATTTGAATAGGTTGCTTTTTGCCTTGCTGGTTGAGGTTGCAAACCAATTTAAAACTATTTGAGTGCCTGTTCAAAAGTTTCCAAACTTACCGATTCTGCTACTTCTGCTCCATTAATTTCCCACTCTCTTAGTTATAAAATTATAGTTTTTTGGAACTTTGAAAGCTTTGTGTCTTTTTATAAGATACCCTCTATCCGTTTTTTCCTAACGCCTTGCAATCGATATCATTCTGTGACTAGTATTTGTAATTTCTGTGCTATTGACATTGATGGTCTTTTTTACTGTGGTGTATTTTTTGACAACTGCCGTGCAGTATTCAGGGTTTGCTTCAAGCCAAAAGGTGACAAAAGCGACAAAGGTTTGTTTTCAATTAAGTCCTTGAAAACAATAGTGCAGTGAACTTATCAAAACCATTACTTCTTGCTTTTCTATCTCGTCTGCCTCCTCGTGAAATTTGTATCAGCATTTCAGTGGGCTTCTTTCAACTTTCCTCGTTGCGTCTGCCATCCAAATCGTAACCATTTGAATGCCCATGCAAGGTTTCAAGAAATACTCCGAGTTACTGATCATTTTGTGGGTTTTTTTCCTGTATTTCACCTACCTTTAGGGATAGAAGTGAAAAACTTGTAAAATTGTGATCTTTTAAATGAACACCCTCCATATGTTCTTTCCTAACGTCATACAGTTGCTACCAATCTTTGCCAAACTTTTGGAATTTCTGTCCTATTGGCATTTACAGCTTGGGTTTCTTTTTTGCCGAGGCTGTAATTGTTTGCCTTGACAATGATTTTTCCGTCCCTTCTTGGTTTTATGAGCGTTCAAATTTTTGGAATCATTCTTATTGGAATATAATTCTTCGCGTTTAAGTGGTGTGGAAAAATGCCGTGAAATGGGTATGTAAGTTAGGTGTTGATGTCTGCAGTATATTCTTTTACGTTTTCTCTCAGACGATGATGAGGAAGAAGACGATAAAGGCAACTGCAAAACTTTAAAACTTGAAAGCAAAAACAAAGAGAAAGACCAGAAGACTCTTTCAAAGTCGAAGAAAATCAAGTCTATGAAGATGACGAAAGAACTGTCAAGGGGCATGTGCAATAAGGGTAAATCCTTTGGCTTTAAAGGAAAGAACGCCTGGGTGAAGGACAACTGCAAGGCAGTATTCAGGGTTTGCTTCAAGCCAAAAGGCGACAAAGGCGACAAAGGCGACAAAGGTTTGTTTTCCATCGAGTAGTTGGAAATAATATAGCAGTTAAAATATCAAAGTTATTACTTCTGGTTTGACTATCTTGTCCGTTTTCTCGTGAATTATGTATCAAGATTTGAATAGGTTGCTTTTTGCCTTGCTGGTTGAGGTTGCAAACCAATTTAAAACTATTTGAGTGCCTGTTCAAAAGTTTCCAAACTTACCGATTCTGCTACTTCTGCTCCATTAATTTCCCACTCTCTTAGTTATAAAATTATAGTTTTTTGGAACTTTGAAAGCTTTGTGTCTTTTTATAAGATACCCTCTATCCGTTTTTTCCTAACGCCTTGCAATCGATATCATTCTGTGACTAGTATTTGTAATTTCTGTGCTATTGACATTGATGGTCTTTTTTACTGTGGTGTATTTTTTGACAACTGCCGTGCAGTATTCAGGGTTTGCTTCAAGCCAAAAGGTGACAAAAGCGACAAAGGTTTGTTTTCAATTAAGTCCTTGAAAACAATAGTGCAGTGAACTTATCAAAACCATTACTTCTTGCTTTTCTATCTCGTCTGCCTCCTCGTGAAATTTGTATCAGCATTTCAGTGGGCTTCTTTCAACTTTCCTCGTTGCGTCTGCCATCCAAATCGTAACCATTTGAATGCCCATGCAAGGTTTCAAGAAATACTCCGAGTTACTGATCATTTTGTGGGTTTTTTTCCTGTATTTCACCTACCTTTAGGGATAGAAGTGAAAAACTTGTAAAATTGTGATCTTTTAAATGAACACCCTCCATATGTTCTTTCCTAACGTCATACAGTTGCTACCAATCTTTGCCAAACTTTTGGAATTTCTGTCCTATTGGCATTTACAGCTTGGGTTTCTTTTTTGCCGAGGCTGTAATTGTTTGCCTTGACAATGATTTTTCCGTCCCTTCTTGGTTTTATGAGCGTTCAAATTTTTGGAATCATTCTTATTGGAATATAATTCTTCGCGTTTAAGTGGTGTGGAAAAATGCCGTGAAATGGGTATGTAAGTTAGGTGTTGATGTCTGCAGTATATTCTTTTACGTTTTCTCTCAGATGATGATGAGGAAGAAGGCGATAAAGGTAACTGCAAAACTTTAAAACTTGAAAGTAAAAACCAAGAAAAAGACCAGAAGACTCTTTCAAAGTCCAAGAAAATCAAGTCAATGAAGATAAGGAAAGAACTGTCAAACGGCAAGTGCAATAAGGGTAAATCCTTTGGCTTTAAAGGAAGGAACGCCTGGGTGAAGGACAACTGCCAGGCAGTATTCAGGGTTTGCTTCAAGCCAACAAATGACGACAAAAGCGACAAAGGTTTGTTTTCAATTGAGTCCTTGAAAACAATATTGCAGTTAATGTATCAAAGTTATTACTTCTGGTTTGTCTATCCCGTCTGACTTCTCGCAAATTTCTGTCCCATTGACATTTATCGTCCATGTTTTTTCCCCGTTCTCATTTCTTCACCGGAGTCAGTACATGTCTACTAGGACGGTAATTTTTTGGTCTGTAATTGTCGTCATTGCTCTCCAATCTTTTGGAAATCTTCTTAGTGGAGGATAATATTTTTGCGTGTATTCACCTGAACAAAATGCCGTAAAATGGGTAAGTAAGTTAAGGACTCATGTCTGCAGTATATTTATTTACTTTTTTTTTCAGACGATGATGAGAAAGAAAAAGATGATAAAGACAACTGCAGAACTTTAAAACTTGAAAGCAAAAAGAATAAGAAAGAACAGAAATCTCTTTCAAAGTCCAAGAAAATCAAGTCAATGAAGATGACAAAAGAACTGTCGAACGGCAAGTGCAAGAAGAATAAATCATTTGGCTATAAAGGAAGGAAGGCCTGGGTGAAGAACAACTGCCGTGCCGTATTCAAAGTTTGCCTCAAGCAAAAAGGCGGCAATGGCGGCAATGGCGGCAATGGCGGCAATGGCGGCAAAGGTTTGTTTTTAAATGAGTCCTTGACAACAATAGAGCAGCTAACTTATCAAAGTCATTACCTCTGGTCTCTTTCTCGTCTGCCTCCTTGTGAAATTTGTATCCGTATTTCAGTACGTGGGCTGCTTTCTACTTTGCTTGTTGCGGCTGCTATCCAAATCTAAACCATTTGTGTGCCTATCCAAGGTTTCAAGAAATACTCCGACTTACTCATTCTGATCTTTCTTCCGGCATTTCGCATACCTTCAGGGATGGAAGTGAAAAATTTGAAAAATCGTGATGTATTTCTGGTGGACTCCCTCAATAATTCTTTCCTAACGCCATACGGTCGTTTCCTATCTTTGCCAAACTTTTGGGAATTTCTGTCCTCTTGGCATTTATAGCTTGGGTTTCTTTTTTGCCGAGTCAGTAATTGTTTGCCTTGACAATAATTGTTCCGTCTTTACTTGGTTCCATGGCTGTTCCGTTTTTGGAAACACGCTTGTTGGAGGGTAATTCTTCACGTGTATAAGCTGGAGCAAAATGCTGTGAAATGGGTGTGTAAGTTAGGTGTTGATGTCTGCAGTATATTCTTTTACGTTTTCTCTCAGACGATGATGAGGAAGAAGACGATAAAGGCAACTGCAAAACTTTAAAACTTGAAAGCAAAAACAAAGAGAAAGACCAGAAGACTCTTTCAAAGTCGAAGAAAATCAAGTCTATGAAGATGACGAAAGAACTGTCAAGGGGCATGTGCAATAAGGGTAAATCCTTTGGCTTTAAAGGAAAGAACGCCTGGGTGAAGGACAACTGCAAGGCAGTATTCAGGGTTTGCTTCAAGCCAAAAGGCGACAAAGGCGACAAAGGCGACAAAGGTTTGTTTTCCATCGAGTAGTTGGAAATAATATAGCAGTTAAAATATCAAAGTTATTACTTCTGGTTTGACTATCTTGTCCGTTTTCTCGTGAATTATGTATCAAGATTTGAATAGGTTGCTTTTTGCCTTGCTGGTTGAGGTTGCAAACCAATTTAAAACTATTTGAGTGCCTGTTCAAAAGTTTCCAAACTTACCGATTCTGCTACTTCTGCTCCATTAATTTCCCACTCTCTTAGTTATAAAATTATAGTTTTTTGGAACTTTGAAAGCTTTGTGTCTTTTTATAAGATACCCTCTATCCGTTTTTTCCTAACGCCTTGCAATCGATATCATTCTGTGACTAGTATTTGTAATTTCTGTGCTATTGACATTGATTGTCTTTTTTACTGTGGTGTATTTTTTGACAACTGCCGTGCAGTATTCAGGGTTTGCTTCAAGCCAAAAGGTGACAAAAGCGACAAAGGTTTGTTTTCAATTAAGTCCTTGAAAACAATAGTGCAGTGAACTTATCAAAACCATTACTTCTTGCTTTTCTATCTCGTCTGCCTCCTCGTGAAATTTGTATCAGCATTTCAGTGGGCTTCTTTCAACTTTCCTCGTTGCGTCTGCCATCCAAATCGTAACCATTTGAATGCCCATGCAAGGTTTCAAGAAATACTCCGAGTTACTGATCATTTTGTGGGTTTTTTTCCTGTATTTCACCTACCTTTAGGGATAGAAGTGAAAAACTTGTAAAATTGTGATCTTTTAAATGAACACCCTCCATATGTTCTTTCCTAACGTCATACAGTTGCTACCAATCTTTGCCAAACTTTTGGAATTTCTGTCCTATTGGCATTTACAGCTTGGGTTTCTTTTTTGCCGAGGCTGTAATTGTTTGCCTTGACAATGATTTTTCCGTCCCTTCTTGGTTTTATGAGCGTTCAAATTTTTGGAATCATTCTTATTGGAATATAATTCTTCGCGTTTAAGTGGTGTGGAAAAATGCCGTGAAATGGGTATGTAAGTTAGGTGTTGATGTCTGCAGTATATTCTTTTACGTTTTCTCTCAGATGATGATGAGGAAGAAGGCGATAAAGGTAACTGCAAAACTTTAAAACTTGAAAGTAAAAACCAAGAAAAAGACCAGAAGACTCTTTCAAAGTCCAAGAAAATCAAGTCAATGAAGATAAGGAAAGAACTGTCAAACGGCAAGTGCAATAAGGGTAAATCCTTTGGCTTTAAGGGAAGGAACGCCTGGGTGAAGGACAACTGCCAGGCAGTATTCAGGGTTTGCTTCAAGCCAACAAATGACGACAAAAGCGACAAAGGTTTGTTTTCAATTGAGTCCTTGAAAACAATATTGCAGTTAATGTATCAAAGTTATTACTTCTGGTTTGTCTATCCCGTCTGACTTCTCGCAAATTTCTGTCCCATTGACATTTATCGTCCATGTTTTTTCCCCGTTCTCATTTCTTCACCGGAGTCAGTACATGTCTACTATGACGGTAATTTTTTGGTCTGTAATTGTCGTCATTGCTCTCCAATCTTTTGGAAATCTTCTTAGTGGAGGATAATATTTTTGCGTGTATTCACCTGAACAAAATGCCGTAAAATGGGTAAGTAAGTTAAGGACTCATGTCTGCAGTATATTTATTTACTTTTTTTTTCAGACGATGATGAGAAAGAAAAAGATGATAAAGACAACTGCAGAACTTTAAAACTTGAAAGCAAAAAGAATAAGAAAGAACAGAAATCTCTTTCAAAGTCCAAGAAAATCAAGTCAATGAAGATGACAAAAGAACTGTCGAACGGCAAGTGCAAGAAGAATAAATCATTTGGCTATAAAGGAAGGAAGGCCTGGGTGAAGAACAACTGCCGTGCCGTATTCAAAGTTTGCCTCAAGCAAAAAGGCGGCAATGGCGGCAATGGCGGCAATGGCGGCAAAGGTTTGTTTTTAAATGAGTCCTTGACAACAATAGAGCAGCTAACTTATCAAAGTCATTACCTCTGGTCTCTTTCTCGTCTGCCTCCTTGTGAAATTTGTATCCGTATTTCAGTACGTGGGCTGCTTTCTACTTTGCTTGTTGCGGCTGCTATCCAAATCTAAACCATTTGTGTGCCTATCCAAGGTTTCAAGAAATACTCCGACTTACTCATTCTGATCTTTCTTCCGGCATTTCGCATACCTTCAGGGATAGAAGTGAAAAATTTGAAAAATCGTGATGTATTTCTGGTGGACTCCCTCAATAATTCTTTCCTAACGCCATACGGTCGTTTCCTATCTTTGCCAAACTTTTTGGAATTTCTGTCCTCTTGGCATTTATAGCTTGGGTTTCTTTTTTGCCGAGTCAGTAATTGTTTGCCTTGACAATAATTGTTCCGTCTTTACTTGGTTCCATGGCTGTTCCGTTTTTGGAAACACGCTTGTTGGAGGGTAATTCTTCACGTGTATAAGCTGGAGCAAAATGCTGTGAAATGGGTGTGTAAGTTAGGTGTTGATGTCTGCAGTATATTCTTTTACGTTTTCTCTCAGACGATGATGAGGAAGAAGACGATAAAGGCAACTGCAAAACTTTAAAACTTGAAAGCAAAAACAAAGAGAAAGACCAGAAGACTCTTTCAAAGTCGAAGAAAATCAAGTCTATGAAGATGACGAAAGAACTGTCAAGGGGCATGTGCAATAAGGGTAAATCCTTTGGCTTTAAAGGAAAGAACGCCTGGGTGAAGGACAACTGCAAGGCAGTATTCAGGGTTTGCTTCAAGCCAAAAGGCGACAAAGGCGACAAAGGCGACAAAGGTTTGTTTTCCATCGAGTAGTTGGAAATAATATAGCAGTTAAAATATCAAAGTTATTACTTCTGGTTTGACTATCTTGTCCGTTTTCTCGTGAATTATGTATCAAGATTTGAATAGGTTGCTTTTTGCCTTGCTGGTTGAGGTTGCAAACCAATTTAAAACTATTTGAGTGCCTGTTCAAAAGTTTCCAAACTTACCGATTCTGCTACTTCTGCTCCATTAATTTCCCACTCTCTTAGTTATAAATTTTTAATTTTTTTGGAACTTTGAAAGCTTTGTGTCTTTTTATAGGATACCCTCTATCCGTTTTTTCCTAACGCCTTGCAATCGATATCATTCTGTGACTAGTATTTGTAATTTCTGTGCTATTGACATTGATGGTCTTTTTTCTGTGATGTATTTTTTTTTTTTTTTGGCCTTGTCAGAAATTGTTTACTGGAACTACAGTTTTAACGTCAGTAACTGGTGTAGTTTATTATTGAGCAAAATGCCGTGAAATGGCCATATAAGTTAGTAATTTTGCATGTAATTCATTGAGCAAAATGCCGTGAAATGGCCGTGTAAGTTAGGTGCTGAAATATGCAGTATATTCTTTTACGTTTTCTCTCAGACGATGAAGATGAAGAAGACGATGATGGCAATAAAGACAACTGCAGAACTTTAAAACTTGAAAGCAAAAAGAATAAGAAAGAACAGAAATCTCTTTCAAAGTCCAAGAAAATCAAGTCAATGAAGATGACAAAAGAACTGTCGAACGGCAAGTGCAAGAAGAATAAATCATTTGGCTATAAAGGAAGGAAGGCCTGGGTGAAGAACAACTGCCGTGCCGTATTCAAAGTTTGCCTCAAGCAAAATGGCGGCAATGGCGGCAATGGCGGCAATGGCGGCAAAGGTTTG